AAAGACAGGAAATTGGGCCAAGTTTTTATAACTTTCTGACTTTAGTTTGGAATATCACGAAACTTTCTCACAAGATAGAACTTGCTATTCCTAGAAATCGTATCGTTTTTGTTTTTCGATTTTGATACATTTTGGCGGGAAAATGACGTGCCAACTTTGGCGCCAAAACATTAAACACGAGCTAAGAACATGGTAGTAACTTTTTTGATGAGATTGTCCTATAAGGATCTCAAAACTGTAAAAACATTCAAAATACGCCAAAGCAGTGCAAAGATATGGTGCTTTATAAAAGTCTGAAAAATCCGCCATTTTGTTACCAAAAATAGATTTTTTTCGAACTTTGAATCGCCATATCTTCGTACTGCCTTGTTGTATTTTCAATGTTTTTACAGTTTTGAGATCCTTATAGGACATTCTCATCAAAAAAGTAACAAGCATGTTCTTAGCTCGGGTTTAATTTTTTGGCGCCAATGTTGACACGTCATTTTCCCTCCAAAATGTAACAAAATCGAAAAACAAAAACGAAACGATTTATGTGGAATGGCAAGTTATAAATAAATAAATAAATATATTATTATTATTATTATTATTATTATAAATTTCCAAACTAGCAGTAACAACTGAATTACTTTGGAATTACAGGGTATAAGAACATAGGTATTTAATCTATTCTATATTTACAGGTAAAAATAGGTAAGTTAGATAAAAATAACGATAATAATCTAAAGTTTACTTATTATTATAAGCACGAGACGCAGCAGGAATGAAACTGTTCAAAAAACGTTCAGTTCTACACCTAGGTACTAATAAGTTGGGATAAGACCTCAGATTATAAGTTTGAAGACTTTTAGGCGGTACTAAGGCATTCAGTTTATGAGTGGGTTCCAACATCTTCGAAAAAAGTCGCTTGCAATGGATAGTTCTACGTTCGTAAAGAGTCATCAAGTTAGCTTTAAGCAAACATTCAGCATAGATAGTTCCAGGGAAAATAATTTTTAATGCCCTTTTTTGTATTTTTTCAACTTGATCACTCAGGTAATGAGGAAGGCCATAATGCCACACTTGACAAGCATATTCGACAATTGGTCGAATATGTGTACAATAGGTTGAGATCAGAATATGAGAAGGTAAAGCATTTCTTTTAAGAAGGCGCAGACCGTACAAACGCTTCGCGGCTTTCTTGCAAATGTAGTCAATATGGCAGTTCCATTTGAGGTCGTCCGAAAGGACAACGCCCAATAGTTTGGCCTCGGAAACGACGTCGACCTCTTGACCGCGAATGGTATTAGGGGCAAACGATGGAGTAAGCTTAGAAAAGCAGACACGCAATTCTTTGGTCTTTGATACGTTTAACTTCATATTATTGTCTGATGACCATTCAGAGCAGCTGATGATGTTAGCGGGTAACTGGGAAGGGGAATTGTTTGATATTATTTCCCAAAGGCTAGTATCATCGACAAATTTAACAGTTTCATCCACTACAGCCAAGTCATTTATCATGATTAAAAATAATAGCGGGCCAAGCTTCGTTCGTTGTGGGACGCCGGCGTTTAAAAACTTCCACTCAGAAAAGAACTGACCAACACGGGTTCTTTGTTGTCTGCCTGTTAGGAAGTTTGCGATCCAGTTGAGTAACACGGGATGAATTTCCATGTCTTTCAATTTTTCCAACAGAATGTTATGATCTAATCTATCAAACGCCTTGGCAAAATCAAGTAAACAAATCCGTATAGTGTTGCCTTGTTTGTCAGCTGCTTCAAACCAATTATGTAGCATGTAGATTAATGCCATACTAGTGCTTGAACCCTTCAGCGAACCAAATTGCAAGGAATCAATTTTTTTTGAGACGGAGTCAAGTAGCCATTTGTAGGGAAAGGATTCAAGAATCTTGCTGATAATTGGTGTGAGGGAGATTGGTCTGAAGTCAGAATCTACATCTTTAGGAGGCGAAGATTTTTGAACTGGTGTAATATTTGCTGCCTTCCATATTGAGGGAACAAATCCTTCACGAACTGATGAATTAAAAATAGAACACAAAGATCGACACAACACTGAAGCGTTTTCCCGGAGAAGCCAAGAAGGAATTTCATCGGGACCAGCAGATGAATGAAGTTTAGATGATAATAGGGCCTTTTCAGTCTCCTCGACAGAGATGCAGAAATCATCTGGAATGTCATATATATCTCTATTGTGGCAAAATAAATAAATAAATAAAAAGTTCTATCCTGTGAGGAAGTTTCGTGATATTCCAAACTAAAGTCAGAAAGTTATAAAAACTTTGCCCAATTTGCTGTCTTTTTTCCCACCGGGTATAGCAATTACGAATCGAGAATCCGACTAACGACTTGTTATTCTATAAATACACGCGCAACGTGTTTGTGACGTTGCTGATATTGAATTATATAGACCGCGTCTAAATGTTAAAAATATCTATTACTCTCAACCATTTTTCGTGAGGTTGTCCCGAATCATGTGAAATATCCTGTACACAGATTGTATTGTGCTTTAATAAAGTCTGGAAATTCGTGGCAGATATATTTAGATTAGTGTTAGATAAAGATTAAATTAGGTTAGATTAAGATTAGGGTTAGGGTTAGTGTTAGGGCTCAACATGTGTCGCGAATTTATTGTATTGATAATTTCGGACTTGTTTAACAATTTACTCATATAGTAAATTAGCCATTCCGAAGTTGATGAGTGGACTGGGACGAAGGTTAAAAAGTGCCCAAATTAAGAAATAATCCAAATCACCAAAAAAGACCACCTCAAAATTAGTAAGTATACAAAGTTGGAAGACGTTTACATGAATATCCTTCGAATAATAGGCTTTCGAAAATCGCGATATCAGTACCATGAAATGTATTGTAATTTTTGTTTTTTGGACTCGCGTCCCAAAAACTTTGTATACTTACTAATTTTGAGGTGGTCTTTTTAGCTATTTGGTTCATTTCTTCATTTGGGCACTTTTTAACACTTGTCCCCAGTCCTCTCATCAACTTCGGAATGGCTAATCCAAAGGTGGAGCTCGTGCTGATTTAAACTCATTAGATTCTGATTTGCCGAGTTCGAATGTCAACACAATTCTGAATTTTAATAACGTAAACAAATCGTATCACGCTCAGGATTCGCCATTATCTTCAATTCTTTGTTGCATTTTATTTATTCAATGGGTTTCTGAGCTACACGGTCAGACGGATTTAAGACTGGAAATTATGAACTATATATACATTCAGTATATACTTCATAATTTCCAGTCTTAAATCCGTCTGACCGCGTGTAGCTCAGTTGTTAGAGCGTCGATCTAGTAATTCGAAGGTCGTGGGTTCAAGACCCAGCCGCGGCAGACAACATCTTTCTGCTTGCGCCGCGGGTATGGAAATTATGAAATACACACCCGAGAATATTTTCAACTTATCTTAATTATCTCTCTTTGGCTAAATTGAGAGACCTAAATTCAGATGTTTCCTCTGATGTTTGCTGAACCTTGGTAGTCTTGGCATCACAAGCAAATTCAAAAAAATATTTTGTTTCCCAAATGTGCATGCAGGTAAATTTTTGTTTTCCTATTTCCTATATATATATTGTGATGTTTCTCTGAGTGTGTATCCACACCGGGTAAGCTTGAAAAATATGTCTGCCAACGTGGGATCGAACCTACAAACTTTGGAATACTAGCCCAATGCTCTGCCAACTGAGCTACGCGGTCAGGACGGTTCGAGTATGTGATATTTCGGAACAGAGTCTATTCCCTCGATATCTATAGCTATCTAATAATCATGATTTTTGGGCTAGTATTCCAAAGGTCGTAGGCAGGGCATTGCGCTAGTATTCCAAAGGTCGTAGGTTCGATTCCCACCGTGGCAAGGCCTACTCCTCATGAGACCTTGACTCGCCGCGAGATAAGGCGAGCCTATTCGAGTTAGGGCGAGATAAGGCGAGTTAAGGAAAAATCTGGATATTGTATACACACTATGTATTTTGCATTGTTTGCACATTATGCATAGCAAGTATGCAGTACTTGAAGTAGCAGGCCTAGAAAAGTGTTTTATTCTATATTCTACAATACATACATGATATGCACAATACCTCGGGACCTAGAAACGAGTTACATCAAAATGAAGCTGGTATATAATTTGAGGCATTATGGATATAGTGTGTATAGAACTGATATTAGAATGTTAGGGTTTGTAATCCAAGTGAGTATATATACATTTTAAGACCTAGCCAGGAACGACTGCGAAAAATGCAGCACAAGTCCTCTGGTAGGAATTGAACCTACGTCCTGCGATTCCGGTGCAGCGCTCTAACCAACTGAGCTACAGAGGCCAGCTGTTGAGCTGTAACCGTAAGTTCATGTATATATATATATATATATATATATATATATATATATATATATATATATATATATATATATATATATATATATATATATATATATATATATATATATATATATATATATATATATATATATATACATATATATATATATACATATATATATATATATATATATATATATACATATATATATATATATGTATATATACATATATGTATATATATATATATATATATATATATATATATATATATATATATATATATATATATATATATATATATATATATATCACAATGCGTAAGCGGCATGGCTCATCCTGTAGAGCGCCCAATATCACCAAATGGCCATAGAGCGATATCTAACTACAGACGGTACCGTTTCGGCCTTATGGGCATCATCAGTGTAGTGCTGATGAGCAGGATGAAAGTGACTGCTATTTTACAGTCACCTTTGATGCCTCACGATGCCTTAGAATCATATATGAGCAGAGTGCTCGATATACGAAGTATAGAGCTGATAAAGATAAAATAAACCTGGTTTACTTCATAAGATTTATTCACTACAAACTTGTTTCGTATGACAAGCAAAAAATAATTGCCAAGTGTAATATGGCTTTATCGCACAGTGTAAATATCGAAAAATTCAGTAGACATTTCAAAGTGAATTTAACTTTTATTAAAAGGACCGCATGTGCTTCTTAAAATTACATACTGTGCTAAAATTACATTTCAATTCTTACTTCTAGAAAGTTATAACTAAGCTAAAACAGGTCATGTCACTAACAGTACTTAGACCTAACATCTCCATTCTACTGTGCATGTAAACCGACAATGGTACAGCTGCCCTTTTCTTGCTTTTTTACCGGCCTGAAATGTAAGTAAATATATTAATTTAGTTTGTTTAAAAGAGGAGTTATAGTTTATTCCAAGAAAATATTAATCTGTTATTTCGAATGTATAATTACATATGTGGAAATGGAGTGAAAATGCAAACATCATCTGTGAAGTGTGAAATTCTGAATTAAAACGTTATTATATTTTATTTATTTAGTATAAACCTACTAGTAGGCTATCATATATCGTGCGTTTTGATTGGCTACGCTACTGGTAGGCTATTAGTGATAGGCTGATAGCCTACTACACGTGTAAAAATTGAGAAAATCAACAACTTGTTCCAGGTTGATATCGACAGGCGTGAACAAGGTTGTACTGGCTACTATGAACAGTATTGTCAACATGTTGTTACAGCATTGTTCAACTGTAACAACTTGGAACAACATGGCAGACAACTTGTTCATAGTTGGCCGCGCAACATTGTTCACGCCTGTCGATATCAACTTGGAACAACCTGTGCGTTTTTAGCCGTGTAGTAGCAACAAGCGGCGAAGGGCGCGAGAGTCAATGGCCGCGTTTTTAAGTATTAAAAGCTGCATTCTGGATTACACACAAACAAAGACTCTTGGAAACTGCTGACACATGCGGGAAAATTTTAAAGTTTTCCCAAATTTGCTCGTGGTTTTGAGCATGAAAGTGACAGGCGATCACCTACTAAAAATTCCTTGCACGTGCTCGGAATTTATTAATTGTTATTAAATCTTGTACTCTCAAGAAGACCGACTACTTGCTAGGCTTTATCTCTGGTTTTATGCGTCAGACAATGACAAAAATACTAGTGTTCGAATCAGCGTGAAAACTTGTATTTACGGATGGAAAATTGATTTCAATATTGATTTCTATTCTTGCGATTTATGGCCTTTGAAAGAAAAGCCGCTCCAAATAATCGTGTACGTTTTCCGAATTCCTTTTTTAGAGGAAAGTTTTCTTTCGAATTAATTTCGGACTCTCACGATTGACTTTTTGCTGCGCCTTATCCAGGGATGCCGGAACGATAAAAAGGCAGGGGTGGCAAACGCACACCAAAGGGCACCTCTATAGACCCCGGTGAAGATATAAACCTATAATTATGTGTTGACTTGCCAGTGAAAGTAAACGCACCTAATCAGGTCACACTCAAGATCACACCTCATGATTTTGCCCAAAAAGAATCACTGGAAATGTGATTTAACAGGTAGTATTTTATAACTAGAAGGGCACATCTGCCTCCCTTGCCCCTCTTAGCAAAATGCAGGAGGGGCAGCTGCCCTCATGCTCCTTCCAGTTCAGTCGTCCCTCGGATTATCTCTGGTTTTTATATGCGCCCAATAAGGACAAAAATACCACCGTTCGATTCAGCGTAAGAGATTATATACACAGATGTCAAATGTATTACTAAATTTATTATGGAGGATAATTACTACCAAAATTAATGTTTGAATTTTGCATTCCAAGTTCCAGATTTTGTTGTTCGTTCCGTGCTTTATGATATAAATGAACTGAAATTTGGTATTAAAGAGTTGAATTTTGATGTTCGCAATTGCATTTGCACTTCAGTTTGCGCAATTTGTCCTTGAGCATTCCATTGTGATGACGTAACATTATGCGTGACCCTCAGAACACAATCTTCAACTCGATTTAAAGTTCGTTTCGAAGTTCCCGCCCAACTTCCGAACTTCGAAACGTAATTGGGAACTTGGAAACGAACTTCGCAACCGCGTCTTGAAAAGTGAACTGAAATCGTGGATAACCTGAAGATGGAGTTACACTCCGAAACGTAGTTATTAAAATAATTTTTTTATACTAAGGCTATATGGTCTAATTATACAAACACAGAATTACTAAAATGTGGCTTAGCGAAAGTTCCGTCATACAAGATTTGAGTAAAAAATTATAATTAACAATTATTCGCCAAAGGCGAGGTGATTTCGATGTCGAGCCTGGGATGAATGATTGTTTTAGTGTAATTGATTGCTGATTATTTGGAAGAAAATCAAAACTACACAAATTTTCGTCATTTAATTGACAAAACGGTTTCGGACGCCATTTCGAACATCGCTTCGGGGATTATCGCGTTATAATTAACTCAACGGCAACCAATCAGCGTGGATAATTTTCAATAATCAACTATGTCATCTAATTAATAAGGAATACCAGTTTAATCCTTCTAGTAGGCTAACCTGAGCAAATGCCAGGAAAAGTCAAGAAAATTTGGACAGATTTGTCAAAAAATAGGTTAAATTAAGGTAACTTTATTAAATACTTCATAAGAATTTGGGCAAACTTTAAACTTTCTTTTGTTCTTCTGTCACTGCTTTCACAGTTTCATCTTTGAAAATATCAATCACATAACTTAGAAAACTTTCAAACAACATGAAAAACCTCGACATTACCACGCTGTACAAGCCGCCATTTTGAAACTACAGGCTCAATATCATTACAGCGTAATTCAGCTCTGAGCATGCATACTACCGGTATTTGTTTCTCTAAACCGGTTTTAGAACTTGTTTTACAAACTGGTTTGACTCGTCTACGACCATGGACTGAGGAAGTGTCAAATCTAGGCAGAGGTCACTTTTCCTACGTTTCCCAGCACAAATAGAGACCTCTGCCAGCAGGGAAATTTTGATGTGGATACAAGAAAAATTTTTTCCTTATACTACACTTTTAAATGATTCAAAATATTTCTATTTTTCGCTTAACATGACATAAAGGCGAAAATTATAGGACACATTGACAACGTCCTTGCCAAACAATACAATTTGCTTTGTTGTGTTTAATTAATTAATGTCCGCGTCATCATGGCAACAGCGTGCATAGATAAATCTCGAAATGAGTCTTTTATCGGTCATTTTAAAAATCACTTTCGGAAAATGTTTTTAATGGTTTGCATCAAAAATAATGTTCATGTAATGACATAATTTCTTTAATCCAAAAATATTATATCGAAATAGATACGGCGCCGGCTTTGTCGATTTATTAGCAGGCAATCAATAACTTACACCCACTTCAGCAAAAATTCCTCGATATGTTGTGAAATATACATTTATTTTTTAAGACGGCTCCCTATACCGTTTTCCACTATGCTGCTTTATAACATTCCACAGACATCTGTCTCTTTCCTTTGTGAAAAGTGTTAAAATATTACCGAAGATATAGGGTGAAACTTAGTTTTCATTTGCTATTCTTTGCTATATCTATGGATGCATTTGACTTGTACGGCAGTCGAAAATCTCTTTTCCGCGGTGGATCCCACATGCATATCGAAAACAACACATGTTTTTTTGTTAATTTACAAATTACAAATTACGTTTGATCGACTACATTACTGCATACGCTACCTAATGGTCAAATAAATTGAGGTCATTGGATGTAAAATGAAAAAGATGATTTTTTAGGCAATAAATGGCTGCGTGTTCTTGCTAAAAATTACAATTTGACAATTTTGCGTCTAATGCTCATTATCATGGCAACAGCGTGGTCAGATCAATCTCAAAATTAGTCAACCCGTCAACTAACTTACAATTGCACTTCACGACGGATTCCTTCATATATAAGCAAAATAGATTCGCGTTTTATAACGCGGTTCCCAAAGGTTTTTGCACTATACTACGCTATACTTTTCCAGAGACTTCTGTTTTTCATTCCGTGCAAAGTGTTAAAAAATTAACAAAAGAATAGGGTAATATTTAGGATCAGTTTTTGCATTTTTTTCCAGCCCTGACGTCTACAATGGTTGCATATCACGACTCCGGCAGTCGAAAATATCGTATTCACGGAGGGTTTTGCATGCATTTCGTAAACAACATTTTTAAATTAAATTACAAAATACATTTGGTCTACAAGCTGATGTACTGTATCACTGTGCTGTTTATATAGTCAAATAAATGTAGACCATTGCATGTAAAATAATAAACCTACTTTTAAAGCTATTAATGGTTAACATAAATTGTTTCCGTTAATTTGGAAATGTTCAACGATTCGTCTGAAATTTCCTCTCATTCGAATAGGTACTACTGTCGTGCAATAGTTTGCGCAATTTGCTCATTCTAAATTCAGTTTTAACGCGATTTGACATTTCATGTGTAGACCGCTTCTTATTTCGCGACGTCTTTTTCGGTCGATCGGAAATGCTGCTAAATTGTGCAGAAGACGCTGTAAATACATGAAGAAACTTTATCCCATATCCAAATGTTCGCGATGCGAACTTTCCATACGTTGTTAAAAATGTTTAAAATATCTTTCGAAAAAAATAGCTTCACATAATGTTTTTCTGAAACGTTATATTAACTGATTTTTAATCATAATATGATCAATTATTTCTCCGTGTTTAAAATTGAAAGATGATTTACTTACTGCAAGGACCATCGTGAACTTTAGTGACATCTTCTTCACTCAAACAATCAGCAATCTCCAACTGGCATTCATTAGAATATGTTTTTCCATCTGATCCACACACTGGGCGATATATCTTCGGACAAGGTTTTAGGCAGTTTGGTTCTTTGAAAATGAAGCAACAACAAAATTGAAAAAAAATATTAAAAAATTCAAATAAGTCATTCTAAAACTTAATTAAAAACGTCCCATAACTCGCATGGACGTCGGGAAAGATTCCATCGCATATACACTGTTATAAACAATACTGTGTATTTTAAGGTGACTCCAAAACGTTTTTGTATTATACTACACTTTACGGACGGATTCTGGAAATATTTGTTTCTTTACTTCACATGACGTGGAGACAAAAATTATTGGACACTTTGTTCCTCCTAAACATTACAATTTGACACTTCAGTCTTTTATGTTCATTGTCATGGCAACAGGGTGGCTAGATCAATGTCAATATTAGCCAGTCCGTCAAATAACTTACATGCACTTCAAGGCGGTTTCCTCGAAATATAACAAAATACATTCGTGTTTTATAATGCGGTTCCCTAAGGTTTTTGGACTATAGTACGGCATAGTATTGCACAGACTTCTGTTCCTTCATTCTGTACAATGTGTTAACAAAATTAACGAAGGAATAAGGTGAAATTTGAGAATACTTTTGGCATTCCTTTCTAGACATAACGTCTACAATGCTTGCATCTAACGAGTACGGCAGTCGAAAATTTCGTATTTCGTGAGCGGTTCTTTATCCATTTCGTAAACAAGGCATGACTTTTAATTAAATTACAAATTACAAATTACATTTGATCTACTGTATTACTGTGCTGCTTATATAGTCAACTAAATATAGAGCTACTTTTAAAGCTATTACTGGTTAATATAAATTGTTTCGTCAATTTGGAAATGTTCAACGATTCCTGTCAAATTTCCTCTCATTTGAATAGGTACTACTGTCGTGCAATAGTTTGCGCAATTCGCTCATTAGAAATTCAGTTTTAACGCGATTTGGCATTTCACGTGTAAAAAAAATTGTTATTTCGAGTCGTCTTTTTTGGTCGATCAGAAATGCTGCTAAATTGTGCAGAAGACCCTGTAAATAGATGAAGAAACTTTATCCCAAATCCAAATGTTGGCGATACGAACTTTCCATATGTTGTTAAAAATGTTTAAAATATCTTTGGAAAAAAATAGCTTCACATAATGTTTTTCTGAAACGTTAAATTAACTGATTTTTAATGATAATATGATAAATTATTTATGCGCGTTTAAAATTGAAAGACGGTTTACTTACTGCAAGGACCATCGTGAACTTTAGTGATATCTTCTTCACTCAAACAATCGGCATTCTCCAACAGGCATTCATTAGAATATGTTTTTCCATCTGATCCACACACTGGGCGATATATCAGCGGACAAGGTTTTAGGCAGTTTGGTTCTTTTAAATGAAGCAACAACAGAATTGAAAAAAAAAAAATTAATTAAAAAATTAAAATAAGTTATTCTAAAACTCAATTAAAAACGTCGCATAACTTGCATGGACGTCGAGAAAGAGTCCATCGCATATACACTTTGATAAACTATACTGTGTATTTTAAGGTGACTCCAAAACGTTTTTGTATTATACTACACTTTACGGATGGGTTCTGGAAATATTTGTTTCTTTACTTCACATGACGTGCAGACAAAAATTATTGCATGGACACTTTGTTCCTTCTAAACATTACAATTTGACACTTCTGTGTTTTATGTTCGTTATCATGGCAACAGCGTGGCTAGATCAATCTCAACAATAGTCAGTCCGTCAAATAACTTACATGCACTTCAAGACGGTTTCCTCGAAGTATAGCAAAATACATTCGTATTTTATAATGCGGTTCCCTAAGGTTTTTGGACTATAGTACGGTATAGTATTCCACAGACTTCTGTTGCTCCATTCTGTGCAATGTGTTAACAATATTAACGAAGGAATAAGGCGAAATTTGAGTATACTTTTGGCATTTCTTTTTAGACCTGACGTCTAAAATGGTTGAATCTGACGAGTAAGGCAGTCGAAAATTTCGTACTTCGTGAGCGCTTCTCCATGCACTTCGTAAAAAAGGCATGACTTTTTAATTAAATTACAAATTAGATTTGATCTACTGTATCACTGTGCTCCTTATATAGTCAACTAAATGTAGATCATTGCATGTAAAGCAATAAAGCAACTTTTAAAGCTATTACTTTTTAAAATAAATTGCTTCCGTTAATTTGGAAATGTTCAGCGATTCGTGTCAAATTTCCTCCCATTCGAATAGGTACTACTTTCGTGCAATAGTTTGCGCAATTCGCTCATTCGAAATTCAGTTTTAACGCGATTTGATATTTCACATGTAGACCGCTTGTTATTTGGAGTCGTCTTTTTCGGTCGATCAGAAATGCTGCTAAATTGTGCAGAAGACGCTGTAAATAGATGAAGAAACTTTATCCCATATCCAAATGTTCGCGATGCGAACTTTCCATACGTTGTTAAAAATATTTAAAATATCTTTGGAAAAAAATAGCTTCACATGATGTTTTTCTGAAACGTTAAATTAACTGCTTTTTAATGATAATATGATAAATTATTTATGCGTGTTTAAAATTAAAGATGGTTTACTTACTGCAAGGACCATCGTGAACTTTAGTGATATCTTCCTCGCACAAACAATCTGCAATCTCCAACTCACATTCATTAGAATATGTTTTTCCATTTGATCCACACACTGGGCGATATATCTCCTGACAAGGTTTTAGGCAGTTTGGTTCTTTGGAAATTAAGCAGCAAGAAAATTGAAAAAAATTATTAAAAAATTCAAATAAGTCATTCTAAAACTCAATTCAAAACATTGCATAACTTGCATGGAGTTCGGGAAATATTCCATCGCATATACACTGTTATAATCTATACTGTGTATTTCAAGGTGACTCCAAAACGTTTTTGTAGTATACTACACTTTACGGACGGATTCTGGAAATATTTGTTTCTTTACTTCACATGACGTGGAGACAAATATTATTGGACACTTTGTTCCTGCTAAACATTACAATTTGACACTTCTGTGTTTTATGTTCATTATCATGGGAACAGCATGGCTAGGTCAATCTCAATATTAGTCAGCCCGTCAAATAACTTACATGCACTTCAACACGGTTTCCTCGAAATATAACAAAATACATTCGTGTTTTATAATGCGGTTCCCTAAGGTTTTTGGACTATAGTGCGGCATAGTATTGCACAGAGTTCTGTTTCTTCATTCTGTGCAATGTGTTAACAAAATTAACGAAGGAATAAGGTGAAATTTGAGTATACTTTTGGCATTTCTTTCTAGACCTAACGTCTACAATAGTTGCATCTGACGAGTACGGCAGTCGAAAATTTCGAACTTTGTGTATGGTTCTTCATGCATTTCTTAAACAAGGCATGACTTTTTAATTAAATTACAAATTACAAATTGCATTTGATCTACTGTATTACTGTGCTGCTTATATACTCAACTAAATGTAGATCATTGCATGTAAAGTAATAATACTACTTTTAAAGCTATTACTGGTTAATATAAATTGTTTCCGTTAATTTGGAAATGTGCAATGCGTCGTGTCAAATTTCCTCCCATTCGAATAGGTACTACTGTCGTGCAATAGTTTGCGCAATTCGCTCATTCGAAATTCAGTTTTAGCGCGATTTGACATTTTACGTGTAGACCGCTTGTTATTTGGAGTCGTCTTTTTCGGTCGATCAGAAATGCTGCTAAATTGTGCAGAACATGCTGTAAATGGATGAAGAAACTTTATCCCATAACCAAATGTTCGCGATGCGAACTTTCCGTACGTTGCTAAAAATGTTTAAAATATCTCTGGAAAAAAATAGTTTCACATAATGTTTTTCTGAAACGTTAAATTAACTGATTTCTAATGATAATATGATAAATCATTTATGCGCGTTTAAAATTGAAAGACGGTTTACTTACTGCAAGGACCATCGTGAACTTTAGTGATATCTTCTTCACTCAAACAATCGGCATTCTCCAACAGGCATTCATTAGAATATGTTTTTCCATCTGATCCACACACTGGGCGATATATCAGCGGACAAGGTTTTAGGCAGTTTGGTTCTTTTAAATGAAGCAACAAGAGAATTGAAAAAAAAATTATTAAAAAATTAAAATAAGTCATTCTAAAACTCAATTAAAAACGTCGCATAACTTGCATGGACGTCGGGAAAGAGTCCTTCGCATATACACTTTGATAAACTATACTGTGTATTTTAAGGTGACTCCAAAACGTTTTTGTATTATACTACACTTTACGGATGGGTTCTGGAAATAGTTGTTTCTTTACTTCACATGACGTGCAGACAAAAATTATTGCATGGACACTTTGTTCCTTCTTAACATTACAATTTGACACTTCTGTGTTTTATGTTCATTATCATGGCAACGGCGTGGCTAGATCAATCTCAACAATAGTCAGTCCGTCAAATAACTTACATGCACTTCAAGACGGTTTCCTCGAAGTATAGCAAAATACATTCGTATGTTATAATGCGGTTCCCTAAGGTTTTTGGACTATAGTACGGTATAGTATTCCACAGACTTCTGTTGCTCCATTCTGTGCAATGTGTTAACAATATTAACGAAGGAATAAGGCGAAATTTGAGTATACTTTTGGCATTTCTTTTTAGACCTGACGTCTAAAATGGTTGCATCTGAGGAGTAAGGCAGTCGAAAATTTCGTACTTCGTGAGCGCTTCTCCATGCATTTCGTAAAAAAGGCATGACTTTTTAATTAAATTACAAATTAGATTTGATCTACTGTATCACTGTGCTCCTTATATAGTCAACTAAATGTAGATCATTGCATGTAAAGCAATAAAGCAACTTTTAAAGCTATTACTTTTTAAAATAAATTGCTTCCGTTAATTTGGAAATGTTCAGCGATTCGTGTCAAATTTCCTCCCATTCGAATAGGTACTACTTTCGTGCAATAGTTTGCGCAATTCGCTCATTCGAAATTCAGTTTTAACGCGATTTGATATTTCACATGTAGACCGCTTGTTATTTGGAGTCGTCTTTTTCGGTCGATCAGAAATGCTGCTAAATTGTGCAGAAGACGCTGTAAATAGATGAAGAAACTTTATCCCATATCCAAATGTTCGCGATGCGAACTTTCCATACGTTGTTAAAAATATTTAAAATATCTTTGGAAAAAAATAGCTTCACATGATGTTTTTCTGAAACGTTAAATTAACTGCTTTTTAATGATAATATGATAAATTATTTATACGCGTTTAAAATTAAAGATGGTTTACTTACTGCAAGGACCATCGTGAACTTTAGTGATATCTTCCTCGCACAAACAATCTGCAATCTCCAACTCACATTCATTAGAATATGTTTTTCCATTTGATCCACACACTGGGCGATATATCTCCTGACAAGGTTTTAGGCAGTTTGGTTCTTTGGAAATTAAGCAGCAAGAAAATTGAAAAAAATTATTAAAAAATTCAAATAAGTCATTCTAAAACTCAATTCAAAACATTGCATAACTTGCATGGAGTTCGGGAAATATTCCATCGCATATACACTGTTATAATCTATACTGTGTATTTCAAGGTGACTCCAAAACGTTTTTGTAGTATACTACACTTTACGGACGGATTCTGGAAATATTTGTTTCTTTACTTCACATGACGTGGAGACAAATATTATTGGACACTTTGTTCCTGCTAAACATTACAATTTGACACTTCTGTGTTTTATGTTCATTATCATGGGAACAGCATGGCTAGGTCAATCTCAATATTAGTCAGCCCGTCAAATAACTTACATGCACTTCAACACGGTTTCCTCGAAATATAACAAAATACATTCGTGTTTTATAATGCGGTTCCCTAAGGTTTTTGGACTATAGTGCGGCATAGTATTGCACAGACTTCTGTTTCTTCATTCTGTGCAATGTGTTAACAAAATTAACGAAGGAATAAGGTGAAATTTGAGTATACTTTTGGCATTTCTTTCCAGACCTAACGTCTACAATAGTTGCATCTGACGAGTACGGCAGTCGAAAATTTCGAACTTCGTGAGCGGTTCTTCATGCATTTCGTAAACAAGGCATGACTTTTTAATTAAATTACAAATTACATTTGATCTACTGTATTACTGTGCTGCTTATATAGTCAACTAAATGTAGAGCTACTTTTAAAGCTATTACTGGTTAATATAAATTGTTTCGTCGATTTGGAAATGTTCAACGATTCGTGTCAAATTTCCGCTCATTAGAATAGGTACTACTGTCGTGCAATAGTTTGCGCAATTCGATCATTAGAAATTCAGTTTTAACGCGATTTGGCATTTCACGTGTAGACCGCTTGTTATTTCGAGTCGTCTTTTCGGTCGATCAGAAATGCTGCTAAATTGTGCAGAAGACGCTGTAAATAGATGAAGAAACTTTATCCCATATCCAAATGGTCGCGATGCGAACTTTCTATAAGTTGTTAAAAATGTTTAAAATATCTTTGGAAAAAAATAGCTTCACATAATGTTTTTTTGAAACGTTAAATTAACTGATTTTTAATGATAATATGATAAATTATTTATGCGCGTTTAAAATTGAAAGACGGTTTACTTACTGCAAGGACCATCGTGAACTTTAGTGATATCTTCTTCACTCAAACAATCGGCAATCTCCAACAGGCATTCATTAGAATACGTTTTTCCATCTGATCCACACACTGGGCGATATATCTTCGGACAAGGTTTTACGCAGTTTGGTTCTTTGAAAATGAAGCAACAACAAAATTGAAAAAAATTATTAAAAATTCAAATAAGTCATTCTAAAACTCAGTTAAAAACGTTGCATAACTTGCATGGACTTCCGGAAAGATTCCATAGCATATACACTTTTATAAACTATACTGTGTATTTTAAGGTGACTCCAATACGTTTTTGTATTATACTACACATTAAGGACGGGTTCTGGAAATATTTGTTTCTTTACTACACATGACGTGAAGACAAAAATTATTGGACACTTTGTTGCTCCTAAACATTACAATTTGACACTTCTGTGTTTTATGTTCATTATCATGGCAACAGCGTGGCTAGTTCAATCTCAATATTAGTCAGTCCGTCAAATAACTTACATGCACTTCAAGACGGTTTCCTCGAAATATAACAAAATATATTCGTGTTTTATAATGCGGTTTCCTAAGGTTTTTGGACTATAGTACGGCATAGTATTGCACAGACTTCTGTTGCTTCATTCTGTCCAATGTGTTAAAATAATTAACGAAGGAATAAGCTGAAATTTTAGTATACATTTGGCATTTCTTTCTAGACCTAACGTCTACAATGGTTACATCTGACGAGTACGGTAGTCGAAAATTTCGAACTTTGTGAGTGGTTCTTCATGCATTTCGTAAACAAGGCATGACTTTTTAATTAAATTACAAATTACGAATTACATTTGATCTATTGTGTTACTGTGCTGCTAACCTGAAGTTCAGGCCCTAATCACAGAATAGGGCCTGACACAAAACCTATCTAAAGTGTGGGATTCCCGTCCATCTGGTGGACGGGAAATCTGATTGGTTGATCAGCGTCATGAATGATTTTGATTGGTTGCAAGTTCACATAAACAACAGTTTTAAAAATAGCTCGGTCATAAGGCGAGAATTAATATAAAGGTCAAACGCATGTAACAAATTCCATTATCGATTTCTTCGAATTTCTTTTCTTTTAATATGCTTTATGGCAGAAAATAAATCAAACAAACAGTATTTTGAAAGGGCTTCATCAAAATCTTTGACGAATTTTGGACACACACGACGCTGAAAGAACAGCCAAACTAGTCATGTATTCGAAAGCTTGTTGTTGACAGTCAAGATGTTCGGCCAACTGGCTTCGCCGGCAAAAGTCTTATTTTTAATATCAGGTCCCACCGGCGTTGTTTTCTGAGCTAAATCGCCTTCTTTGTGATACGATTGAGAATTTAATTGTTAATGTTGTTAGCCCGTTAGTCGTTAGAGTATATCCGCGTCCAGCAAATTGAGACCATGAGAAAGCTTGGCAGTCAAGCCGTGCACAGAACTGACTAATTAAATATTTGTTTGCTGTTCGGTTAAATAGAGAAACTGACTCTTAATTATATAAAAGTACCTTGAATTTTTAAGTTTAATTAAAAAGCAAAATGCACACTCTGCGGACATGTTCATGAGAATATAATTTTTTTGTGTAACGAAATCTACAACACTTGTCAATCATATTGCATGCTGTGTCTGAAAATAACATGTGGGCGTCCCACGGTCTAGACAGGTTTTGTGTCAGGCCCTATTTCAAATTAGGGCCTGAACTTCAGGTTACTGTGCTGCTTATATAGTCAACTAAATGTAGATCATTGCATGTAAAGTAATAATACTACTTTTAAAGCTATTACTGGTTAATATAAAATGTTTCCGTTAATTTGGAAATGTGCAACGATTCGTGTCAAATTTCCTCCCATTCGAATAGGTACTACTGTCGTGCAATAGTTTGCGCAATTCGCTCATTCCAAATTCAGTTTTAACGCGATTTGACATTTTACGTGTAAACCCCTTGTTATTTGGAGTCGTCTTTTTCGGTCGATCAGAAATGCTGCTAAATTGTGCAGAAGACGCTGTAAATAGATGAAGAAACTTTATCCCATATCCAAA